TAGCTGGATTAGAGTTACATTTAGAAAGAGAAGAGAAAAAGGGTCTCTCCTATAACCAATACGGATTCCGCAAGCAAAGGACAACTACTGATGCGATTAAGAAGCTCACTGACAATAGAAGGAACCAGATGGATCCCATAAAAATCATATATGTATGTCTTGTTTCCCTACTCTATTCCTGAAGGTATGTATGAAAAAGTGTCTATATAATTCTATATCATTGTACTAATATGGATATAAATAGAAGTATGTAATACATAGCTCGGTCAAAAATTCACACCATATGTGATGTTTTGCCGATAGATAGGACTCAAGCTTATCTATGTTGGTAGTCTAAGGATATCATGCTCGAGCATATAAGTTGCAATCAAAGTAATGCCTTCGGCCATAAGATATATCACCGCCTACTTATTTCCGTGTGAACTTCAACTCAGAGATAGTTAGCGAAGATTTCAATGCCCTTACAATAAATAAAATAGAAGTTGGCGAGAAAGCATTTACATACGAGTTAATATCTATACACATAAAGGTATATACATTCCCTGCAGTAGAAAATCAAACGAGTAAAGAATAATAATACTAATTAAAAACTAGACTTTATAGTCCGAAGTTGATGGGGAAAATAAAATAATCTCCATAAGTCGAACAATAATATCGAATTATTATATAATACAGATGAAAATTAAGTTATGTACTAGTTATTGTTATGATAGTTATTTACTTTATTGTTCAAAACAAAAGTGCCATTTATATTAGAATTTTTTAGCTAATTTTAATTCGTTGTGTATATATTGTATATGGATTCGAGGCGGGATATATAAGTATAAGTAATTTCCTTTAACTTCCATTGGAGGGTAAGACCAAAACTAAAGTATTACGGATATTCCGGTTATTTGACAAAGCTTTTAAATTGTTCCACTTGACGTTCCTTAAATCAACATGTACCGCCAGGGGGTGGCGGAATAGTTATGTAGATCATATCCAAGCACTACATACGACTCTCGTATATTGGTGAATTTTGACATTTGACATCTTCGCTCCTTATGATTTTGTACGGTCAGTTCACCAGAGCGAGGTGATTTTTTTTTATATCCATTGATCTGGAATCGGTGTTGAAAAATTTGTCTCGCTTATAAATCAATGAAATACATATGTATAAAAGAAATAGTCAATGTAGACTTCTCCCACCTAAAATGTTGCAGAGAGGACTTAGGTATGTTAATAAAAATATTAGCACTTAAATCAGCCGTGCTGACGTCAACGTAGATAAATCAGACAGATACATTTAAGTTAGTTTTGCTGATCATTCGATTCAGATGCCACCTATACAGGATTTAATTATGTCTATAGCATTCTCTTAAATTATTAAACCATTTTTGGTTCAATTAACTGGACAACCTAACCAATTAAAAAAAAAACCAAACAGCCTAGAAATTTGGGCGATAGAAGTGAAACTTCATGGATCTCGATGTTCCCCGATAACAGAAGCCACTATTCATTATTCTGAATTTTTTAAGGGTGTTAGGTTAATAAAAAGATATAGTTGATGTTTTCGCCTCCATTTATAAAAAATCTTTTCATTCACTTCCATAATTTCATGTTCAAGAAAAGATACAATTGGTTTGTGGTATAAAAATTATGAAATGAAATTACTTGTATTTAAATATCTTGAGAAAATTGTATCTATTGTCATCCCTGATTTGGTTGTTGAGTTTTTGGGATTCTAATTCATTTCTAAATCAAATTAACTTTCTAAAAATTGTACTAGTTGTTGAGCTTCTTTTAAGGCAAAATTGACATGCAAAATTGACATTAAAATCACCGCTTAAATCATTGGCATAGTGTGCTAATCTTCTCCTAATTCTGCTGCACTAGAGGGAGTATATGCCAATAACAGAAAATGTTAATAAATAGAGAAGGGGCACAACTGTGCTGTAATGTAAATAATTAAAAGGGAACATCGAAAATTCAAATTCCAAAATTAAATTGCACCACTTCAAATAGGAACCCTCCTCCCTTTATAAGCGAACTCAACAAACTACACCACTCTAAGAAGGTACCAAGCAAATTTTCACCACCTTATAAAGAAACGGCTAATATATGTTCTTTGGCTTGCGTATTAAGGAAAATTTAAATAACAAAAAGAAATAATAAATTTTGAAGAACATTTATAAAATGAGAGAAAAATTAATATTAAACTATTGTAAAATAAATGTAATAAAAAGGTTAATAAGAATTAAAAAAGGAATATAGCAACATCTGTGATAGGATTTGAACTCAGGCAATATATTTGGTGTAAATTTGTAATAAGGATCTGTGCTTTACAAGTAGTACCATGAACACTACACTTTTAGTTTGGTCTAATCTGTGAACTGAATCAATCGTCGTTTACTTGTTTTAATGACCAGTTTGTATGTAAATATTTCATTCGCATGTCCAAATATACATTATATATATTTGCATATGTGTACACATATGTATGTATGTTCCTCAATATGATGTTTGTAAAAAATTAAGCATTGGCGCAAGCGACAAAAAAAATCGCAGACGCACCATCATCGACTAATAAGATTCGAGCAAGCTCCCGCTATATTTTTTAACTATCTCATATTACAACGCCAATAAATTCATTCATAAGGAAGGCGCGTATGCTACAAAAGGAAGTACGATCGTTGATAACTCTGCACTGCGCTATTTTTTCTGTGCGCCTGCTCAACCAAACTTGGTTTTCATATGAATTTCCTACCACAAATGCACGAAAACGAAGTTTAAATAAAAATTAATTTTACAATTGATCCTACGACGATGCTAAAAATCAGAAATTGAAGAATTTGTTTGATGTTCTCTTCAGAAAAGAGAATTGGCAACATGGCCTATTAGCGATTTAAAAATTTTATTAACATTTATTTCATAATATGCAATATATATTATAAAATTTATATAAAATTGCCATTCATATGAAATCTTAAATTACTTTTATATGTTCTAAGCACACTCTATATAGTACTTCTATTAGTTTACTTATTATAAATATTTCATAGTTTTTCGATTTAGCCCATTTTATCTAAATACGACGCTATGAAAATGTAGCCCAATCGGTAGTCGTAGTATTTCAAAAGAGCTGAAGTCAATTTTCAATAGCAAAGCACTGCAAAAAGGACAAACGCGACAACATAGCCGACCGACGTTGTCCCAAATTGTGGATTCAAACAAATTTTGTCAACTTCGCCACGATGCGAAAAATTCGGCGTAAATATGTATGCAAGCCCTATGTATGTATGTTTGTCGGCAAAGTTGTCATTTGGTTTTTTTCAACGTTTTTTCAGAACTCAATTTTTTGCTCCGCCCCGTCCCCGCAAGAACTCGCCGTTACTTCCATGGCGTGCCATTATGGTCAGAGGCGTTTCAACGGAGGATTTATATCATATTATTATATTGCTTAATTTGTATAGAAAAACACTGATATAAATAAAATATTATAACATTTACGTAAAAATATAACGGTTTGCTTGCGATCGTTCAAGTTGCTTCGTTCTAGCTGTTCTGGTAATAAGCACAAAATGTAAACAAAAGTAATTGCTTGTGCGGGGCAAGGAGACGCAAGTATCTGCGTAGGTGTACTTATGAATATATGTGTGGTTTTCACATTTGTGTATAAATACGCATCAATAAGAACATATTTTCCTGAAGTATTCTAATTATTTCAGTGAGTAAAATAAGCTATTTAAGTTTGAGATCAGCTAAAATGGTTAATAATAAAATAAAATAAAAATTAAGATTTATGATCTACAGGATTCGATCGAAAGCGTTTGTATTCGGAATGGCTTAACTTCTTCACGCTTAAGAACTGATCTACCGCAAAAGCAAAATCGCGGCACTTTGGTTTTATTGTTATCCTTTGCCTATTAGATAATGTTCATGCAACCCACAAAAATTAGTTGTAGAATTTATCTATTAATTACTTATTTTTTTGTAAATTCTGGCGATTTAACCTATAATCCTCCTGTATAACTTGAAGGATTATTTTAAATTACAAAAATTATGATTTTTTGGTAACATGCAAATGTAAATCAGCAAGCGCATACTTCATGTAAGAACATTCTTTGTGTCTATTTATAATCTTTTCTCCGTTTTGATCATTGCGCGGTGTATTTGAAAAGAGTCGAAGTTGTATTTTTCGATGTTCCCTCTTGTCAGAGAATGTTAATAAATAGGGAAGGCGCAAATGTTAGGAAGTACTAATTAATTTTTATAAACCCCTTTTTATTACATTTAATTTAATTTATTTTTAATTTTTCCCTCATTATATAAATGTTCTTCAAAATTTGTTATTTCTTTTTGTTGTTCTAATTTTCCTTAATACACATGCCAAAGAACATCTGCGCATACATATATTAGCTGTTCCTATATAAGGTGAAAATTGGCTTGGTACCTTCTTAGAGTGGTGTAGTTTGTTGAGTTTGCTTATGAAGAGGTGAGGGTTCCTTTTTGACGTGGTGTAATTTAATTTTTGAATTTGCGCATTTTCGATGTTCTCTTTTAATAATTTACATTTCAACACATCTAACATTTGCGCCTTCTCTATTTATTAACATTCTCTGCATTAACATTAACATTTCCTGTCGCTTTTTCGTTTCATTCGATACTGGAATTACAGCCCAACGAGCGCAAAGAAGTTTCACTTCAAAAAATGTATATGTGCACTTTAAGTGTGTATTTAGTTTTTAGTAATGGTATTTAAATAATATTTTTTAATTTAAACGCACTATCATGAAATGATCAAAACCATCCAAAATATCTTAACCAATAAATATACAATTTTTAATTGCTTTGCAGAGATGCCAACTGCTGTTGTGCTGCTTATTAGAAATGCTGCGAATAAGTTTTTTGTGCAATTAACCGGGGAAAATTAAAGAATATTTTTTTCAATAACATATATTTTTAACCTATTATATTGGTCATAGCTAGCTGAATTGATCAATTAATTTAGTTAGACTTACCATTTTAATCGAATATAGATCGTGTTGAAACTGGAAACTAAGATAAGTACAACTCGTTTCCATTCCATTTTGTACCAGTGTAAGGTTATCACGAGTTGCTAAGGACTTGGCGGATTTGATATTACACGGCCGTTACATAGAGATAAGTGCGGGTGTCATACACATAAATGCTTTGAGTTCGCAGCATTAATCGAAGTTCTTAAATCCAATGTCTTACATGCATACATTTATCATTGTTCCTACTAAAGTTTATATACGAGTATACTTAACTGTATATATATATATGTCTGAAATTATTTCAGGTATTTTGGTGCAACCAATAAGTCGAACAAAAGAATATAAATGGGGTGCGAAGTGGAACATGCGTAATGCTTTTTATCGCTCTCACAGTACTCAAAATCTAACAGAGCGGTCGAAACCTCGTTAAAACAAAACGCCCGTATATGCATATACTCGTTTATAGCTTGTGATTTGCTCTCCCAGATTCCGGTGCTTAACACAGCTTCCGCGAGCGCTCGTACAACATGGCGTATACGCAACTTGGCCTCGCTCTTGTATGAAATAATGGAATCATTGACTACGCCATGTGTGGACTCGCAGTTTTCAGTTTTGCTACAACCACGTTATATGCTTAGTTGCTCTGAACATCGGTGCACCGAAGCGCAATGTCAAATTAGCATAGACCAAAGATTGTGTATAAGGTATTGGTGACAGAAACAGTAAAATATTTGCTAACATAATTCTACCTGTAAAAATGTGCATTCATGCCAATTTCGAGACAGTTTAAAATATATAGCTATAGATATTACAGCCGTTTTAATTAATGCAATACTCAAAAATGTGTTTGGCCAATATTCAATTTAACTCTGCAGCTAGGTTTATTAAGCTAAAACCTATTCTGCTGCATCTATATAGCACTTATTTACATGGGATTTTCGAGTTCGGCTTTGTATTAAATATAGAAGTACAATGCAACATAAGAAAAATGCTACTTCATGCCAATTAAGGTTAGTATATGTGTCAATAATTGATTAACTTGAATATATATTAGCTCATTGAAAATTCATCATCAAATCACTGTGCACACACGTTAACATACATGAATGTGTGTTGTTATAAACTGATGCACATATAATACACACATGCCTAAATGCATATAATTTTTCTGAAATTTTATTTTCAAAGGCATACACACTCAATGCAAATATTTTCACCGCCAATAGTGGATTTATCCATTAAATACGGATCTAAAGCTCCGAGAAATAGTGGAAAAAAACGTTCACTTCAAAATTAATATAAAGATTCCTTGATGAATCTCAAAAATAATTATTAACTTATATTTCTGAAATATAAGTACAATAATGATACTCTTAGATCTTAACAAAATTATCATGAAATGCAATTACAAACTACATAGTTTTAACTTTTGCCAATAAATCTTAGTAAAGTTATTTAACCAAATTGTGAATTTATTATTTTGAACCGTTTAAATAAATATTTATCCCTGAACAGGGAATATTTAATTTGCAATGACAATCAGAAGGATCCGTCGGAGACCCTTGACGAGACCTCTTTATGATATATACGCGAGCTAGAACCTCAGTTTTTGAGGTATCGATCTGAAACCTTGCGCACGTCCTTTTTTCCCCAAGAAGCTGCTCATTTGCCCTCTATAGATATAGCTGCCATACAAACTGATAGGTCAAAATCAAGTCCTTATATATTTTATTTGAAAAGTAGGATTTACTAAATTTGGTATGAATTATTGCCCAAGACAATGTTACATTCTCTGAACAAATTGGGTATACTATAGCATATAACTGTAATTCAAATTGACCGATGAACATAAATTTTGTACATAAAAGTTTTTTGTTGGACAAATTATTTTCACAAAATTTGGATAGATTATTGTCCAAGGCAACGCTACAATCTTCCAACATATTGTTCAGATCTGATCACCACAGCATGATTTGATGACAGTTATCCATCAAAACTCACCTATCAAAATTAAGTCCTTATATCGAAAGCTTTTATAACTATTTGACAAGTCATTCCCACGGCATAGATTATTGTCCAAGGTAACGCTACATTCTACAGAACAAATTGTTCAGACTATAACATATAATAATATAATACTTGTATAGCTGCCATTCAATCAGATGAAAATCAAGATGTATATTTTTTTATACCCTTTTATGTTATATACCTACGATTAAACTTATCAAGCATTGATAAAACATGAAGTTTAAAACTTTTAATCAATAAGTTTTCAACAAGCTTAAAATTTATTAGCTAATTTTCGTTGCATGATAAATCATTTTTTTTTAATCAGGGTGAATGGTCACCGTGTTCATTTATAATTTTATACTTTGAAATAGCATTTGAACGAGTTCTCAAAATTATTGTAACATGTGTAAGTGAAACTAGAATAGAATGTAGTAAGCATGTTAAGGACGAACTGACATCTTCAGGGAAGAATGTCGTGACATCTTCAGGGACATCGCTCTCAACATAAACACACGAAGATACCCTCCTCTTAATAAGAAAGAGTTCTTTAGCAATAATGTGAATGGGCGATAACTCATGTTTAGGTATCTTAGCATAGTATATTTTTGAATAACAAAGCGAATAAGATAAAACGAATGTTGGTATGTAAACTTATTGCTTACAATTTTTTAATCCTATTGTCCCTGTCGTTATGTAAGTGTTCACTTGTTATTCGTTAAATAATATAAGAGTTGTATTTGTAACTGTCCTGTCTGTCTACTTTACTTGGAAGAACAATCAACATATTATACTATATACAAAATGAAAAGCGAAGAAAATGTATTAAAAATAGTTATTGATTTTCAAAGTCTTTAAGCTATCGCTTGTACGTGAGTAGTGCATACATAAATATATGTGCATTGTACATACATATATAACTATGTATATTTAAAAGACAACATTAAGAATTAATAATAGTTGGAGCAGGGCCCGTCCATATAGGCAAATTAGGCAACTGCCTAGGGCGCAAGAATTTTAGGGCGACATTTCGGCTAACTTTAAGTTTATTTTTTTTTTATTTCAATAAAATATTGTATATAGTAATTTACAAAATTAATTTATTTAATTTTTATATAATACAAAAAAATCATAGTTTTATATAATATTTTCACATTCTTATACCAATTATAAACATCAACGGGAGTATTGTTAATTTTTTTCATAAATAGTAGCACCCAGTGGGTTTTGTTCTTTAATGTACATAGCTATGAGTTTATTACGAGTATTTCGTTGATTTGCACACAAAATATCACACATCTATGTATGTATCGGGTTTTCCAATAGCGATGATATGACTTTTAAGCGTCGTTTCGGCCATTTTTTTTAGCATGTCGTGATGTGCAATTCTCATACTCTCGCACTATTTGTTGAAATCCGCTTGGCTGTCTGTCCGTCCGTCTGTGAAAGCTGTGACTTAAGTAAAAATTGAGATATCTTTATAAAACTTGGTACACATGTTTCAGGTACAGTAAGAAGGTTGGCATTGCAGATGGGCGTAATCGGACCACTGCCACGCCCACAAAACGTTATTAATCAAAGACAAATAAATTGCCATAACTAAGCTCCAAAATAAGATACAAGACTGTTATTTGGTATACAGGATCACATTAGGGAGGGGCATCTGCAGTTTAAAATTTTTTTTTAAAACTGGGCGTGGAATAATGTGTGAATAATGCGTCTAAGTCGAACCAAAACTGTTCAACTCCCTAAGTACCGAATTTGTGGACCCCAGTGCCTGTAGTTGACTCTTAACCTAATATATCGGTCATTGTTTAAGATATATAGTTGAAATTCATATAATAAAATAAATAAATGAAACTCTCGATAATAGTATGTCTTTGTGTCAAAAATTGGTTGAATCGGATCAATACTTCCTTTAATATAAAATTTTGCCAACACCTGAAATAATTTCCCGGGCTTTGATCCTTTCAAGTTGCAAGAGTATAATATGTTCGGTTACACCCGAACTTAGAACTTCCTTACTTATTTTTCATTAATATATATAGCTATACGAAAGAACAAAGAACTGATTTTGCTTTGAAACAACTTGAAAACGATAACGATTTCTTTAAGAAAATCAATTCTGGTGCAAAGAAAATCCACAAATAATTCATGAACAATTATTACATTCACCTAAATTGAAAGTTTGGTGGTGTTTTTGGTCTAATGAAATCATCATTCCGTACTTCTTTCGAAATGAAGGTGACACCGTTACTGTAACTATTGTGAGAAAAGTTTTAAAGTTTCAAAGATTTAACACCATTAGATTACTTCTTGTTGCGTTATTTGAAGTCATTGGTATTTAGCAATAAACCATACTCTCTTCAAGCTTTAGAAGTCAATATTGAACATGCAATTCATGGCATACGACTTGATTTAGTGGAAGAAGTACTCGAAACTTGGGTTCATCGAATTCGTTCCTGCAAAAGAAGTTGTGAAGGCGATTTGAATGACGTTATATTCAGAGCTTAATTTTATCGATTATACTAAATAAAAAACATTTGAATTTCCTTAACAATTAGTGTGGTTTCTTTTTGTTAAATCATATCACTCTTATTGGAAAACCCTGTACATACATACGTACATTCGAATCAGAAAGTCAAGAAGCCTTCTACGTAAACAAATATCACTTCCCGAGTAAAGAAGATAAAAAATTAAAAAATAACTATTTCAACAAATCGTCCAAGGCATAGAGATATTCAACTGGGAGATACGCGGAACTTAGGCCGTCTGATCAAGGAAGACTTTTTGAATCAGTGCTTGCCTAAGAACAGCAAGTAAAGAAAGACTCGGATGAGCACATACTGTTGCTCTAAATGGGATATCGATTAACAATATGCGAAACTACCGGCAAAACTTCATAAAGTTCAAGAGTTTTTTAGGCATTTCAATTAAACGATTATTCTCATCTACAATACCAATGACCAAGTTTCATCAATATATAATATAACAATATACTGCACCTAATAGACAGACGTTCATCTGTAAAAGCTGTGTACACAGTTAATGGCTCTCTAGCCATTTAGACTTTATAAACGGTTCTATTGGTTTATAAAAACTAACTTAAGCCGATAAATAGTACATATGTAAAATATGCTACAAAAGTCAAATTATTCACAGAGAGTCACTACTTACGGATGTGTCATTACAAAATATACAATACAAAAATCTTAAAAAGTGAGAGGGCCCCGTCCACAAGGCCCACATATAATATTTTTTGGTGCTATAACAGCCCACAGTTAAATAAATAAATATGTGTGATACACAAAATGATATATTATACATGTTTAATATATATCATTGCGCAAGTGTAGCTGAAATTCTAGCTATCGCAGACAGTTGTGTATGTATATTAACGAATTCTATCAACGATTATTATAGTAGGTAGAAGTGTCAAAATAAGGAAACTGCTCAAAATTAAATATATTTAAGGAAAATGGAGGTACTTTATTTTTTCTTTATTTACAAACGTTCCCAGCTGAATAATTTACCAAAATTGGTCTTCAAAAAAACGTTACTTCTTAACATTTTTTTGAATTTTTGAAGTAATGTTTACATTTACACTTTTTTGTTGTGCAATATTTTTCTTTAATATTCATTTGTAATATTTATGCTTTAATGATGTGTTCTTATAGATTGATTTCAATTTCAACAACACACACAAATTTTATAATTTCACGACGAAGGTTCAAATAAATTCAATTCTCCTAATTCTAATGAATTATTTTCTATTGCTTTATGTTTTATTTTACCCAAAAATCTGACTCAGTGTTGTTGTCAGCGTTTTAAACAGACCGATTTCTGTAGCCTTCCATTAATAACAATCCTCATTCATTATCTGATGCAAACATAAGGGCAATTATAATCCACTTGCCTTCCGGGGTGGGTTATTTCCTTTAAATATCTGTTATTATAGTAGCAAAGAGTAACGAGAAATACTGGCTTTCCTATTTCCATTTTG